ACTTTTTCCCTCATCGTGGACAGCCTTTGCAGCATTATTTAAGTATTCAGTAGTGTAAGAACATCTTGTAGTCTTTCTCTTGTAAGTCCGCATCCAAACAAAAAATAAAAGATTCATTACTCATCAGTTGATTAAGTCGTAGAGTTAGTTGAGCTATAGTTGCTCAACTTACCCCAACCCGGAATTTTAAAAGAAAAGTAGGATTGTAAATAAATGCCTAGAATTAGACCCAAAACCTATTTACAAATCAAAAATACAATAATCTTCTGAAAGATTAACACTCTCCTGATTGAAAACAGAGAACATTTGACAAAGACAGACGAAAACTTGCGATAAACAATGTTTTTACTTTTTGGTCACAAAATAAACAAAACGCCGTGACACTTCACTCACTCGTCGAGCTGCCACTAGCTATTGTGCGATGATTACCTCTCCTACCACTCCTTCTTTTCGCTATTTGATACTCCCGCGTAAGGTGAATAGTTTCCGAGATATTTCGATTGCCCAACTTGCCCCTATGCTCAACTAGCCCCGCTCTACCCTATCAACTACGCAATATGTAAACCTTATTAAAAATATACATAAAATAAATCAGTGGCGCTACAACCTCTTTAGGTCTGGGCCTCAGATTTCTGAATCTGTTTCATGATCATTTTTAAATCAAATAGGCATTTAGGTGATCAGCCTCCAGTGCCTGACACAAGCCGTCAACTTTTTGGGTGTAAGACATGTCCGGTTACCTCACGATGTTTTCCTTCGCCGTTCGAGCGAATGTTAAATGCGCACATAGAAAGAAAGTCCATTGGTGCACAGCCGGGGATCGAACCTACGATCTCAGGCATGAGATTCGCACGCTGAAGCCACTAGGCCAACACTGTTCTAAAAATATACATATTCAAATTGAAATTCTCGGTTTTTCGATGTTTTAATAATGAAACAATTGTTTGAACCAATACTTGGCTATCCGAGAAATTACCCTTTTATTCCCTTATTTTCATTATACACCGCAGACATGTTTACGAAAATAATCTGGGCTTGTTTACGTAGGTCCCGCGTGGCCCAGACTATTTGAATCTTTATATTGGAATCGATACGCAATATCGGATACGTGATTTGAATACGATTAGACTTTCGCCTTTGTTTTACATTAATTAAATAAAATTTGATTATTCTGGTTCAATATACATATAATAATGTACTGATGAATCAAAAGTTTTATATCTTTAAATATATTTCTTATATAAGTCTAGTTAGTACATTGATATATTGTTTGATAGTACAATTGCAATAATTGTTAGTATGTAGGGCGTCGCATCCTAATTAAAAATTTTACGGTTTAAAGAGCAGTGTAATATGCTAAGTGGCTTCAGCGTGCGATAGAGATGTCGCAGCTAACTAGCTTAATTAGCCGTTCAATTAACAGCCTAGCCGTTTAACTAGCAGCCTGTATGATATTCAGCCGTAGCGTTTGATACAACATTTAATAAACTGGCTGGCTAATGCTCAGGCCATTTGTATGATAGAGTAAAATTATTATTGACACTATACTCTTCAATTGTACTTGTTGTTTTTCATGAAACTTTGGAAAACATCATCAAAACTGTGCTTTGCCGACGCCATATTGACAGTTTGAAAAGTTTCGTTTCTAGTTTGAGAGTGGCAGAAAGTGGAATTACATTTAAATTAACAGTCAACAGGCTAGGCAAGTAATGAAATGTCATCGATCCAAGTCATTTACCTAGCTGTTGATCAACTGAACATCTTTCAGGCCGCTAATTAAACGGCGCCGTTTAGTTAGGCTGTTAATTGAACGGCTAATTAAGCTATTTGGTTGCGACAGAGAGATCGCATTTAGTTCAAATGGACTTTGTCATGTGCGCATTTAACACTTTCTCGTTGAAGGAAAACACCCCGAGAAAACAGCGTGTGTCAGGCACTAAAAGGGCTGATTACCTTCTTGTTTGTTAGAAAAAACAAATGATCGAAAGAGAGATAGTAATCTAAGACGAAGACCCCAAGGTTAGGTTTTTTCATACATCTTTAAAAATTGGCAAAAGTTAAAAAAAATTATCTTAACGTAAATAAAATTTAATAAGTTGTCTAAATGTGCCCTCGGCTTCATCCATATTAATTCTGGAGGAAGTTCCAGCGCATCTTCCTGGCAATTGCTGGCTCTCACTTTCTCCAGCACTGTCGATCTAGTGCTCTGGGTCGGCCTACTAATCGGCTTAGATAAGCTTACTTCACTTCCCGATCTTTGCCCATGATCAAGGTAATCGACGGGCGTTGTCATGTTTTCTTCCTTCGATAAAAGCGTGTTTGTCTTATCGCTTTATAATATTAGTAGAGATATTTAGTTAATTAAGAACGTTAAGTGTACTATGGAGAATGTTCTCGAAGAGTTGTTTGGGTTTATCCCTCCTCTCGTTTGATCACCGTTTTAACTTAAATTTCATTCGCATCACCTTGATTGGAAATTTTCCACGGTCCGATTCAAATGACATTTTCTTTTGCGAACTAGCGAACTGTGAAATTGACTGTGCGGCTCGTCCCTGGGAGATACGACCTCCGATTGTTAACAGAGTATACTCCTCCCTTAAAGGCCGGCGAAGAACCCACTAAAATCGGTATCCATGGGCTGCGATGACTTTTCCGTACCCTATTTAAAAAAAAAAGACAGACTCGTATAAAAGTTTGAATAGGAACGTTACGTAACTCTAAATCAATATAAACCGCTGAGGCCGACGATTTTTCTAATATTACATAATGAGCACTTTCTAACTGAACCTTAGTGGGACAGCTGCGTACGTTGAATTCTTTATGGCGGAAAATTGCGTCAGCTTCGAAGGTTAAGATCAAGATTTTATTGAAGGACTAGATTTTATCTATGTAAAGGAAATATGTTTGATCGATATAAAGCAACGCGTGCACAATACACAATTGTTAACAATAAATAGACATAGTACATGCCTCGATATTGACTCGATGAGACGAAAAAGGCACGCAATTGTCGTCGAAGGCAACAATGAATACAGGAACAATGGGAAAGGTTAGACTGATTGTATTGTTGTTTAAGCAATAGATGGCGTTGTGCATGTGTAAAACGCGATGGCATAACGACATCTTAGAATTAGGGTTTAATATTTAAATTTAAGTATTTTTGGTTTAGTCCCTACTCCTTCCTGACAAAAAAGGCTCGTAGAAGGCCCCGGGACGGTTTAACGGAACCGGACCTGGATGGGTACAGACAAATTAAAAGGACTAGCGCCGCTTGTAGCAGAAACCGCCTTCACCGGGAAACCGGCGATTGACCTCACTTTGTACTTCGCTCACAAGAGCTTCCGTCCTGCCATTCAGGACGATTGACTACCCTGCGACGGAGCAATTTCAGAGTGTCAAAGGAAGGCGCCCTACGCAACCGTGGGATAAACATCTTTTGCCAGCTAAGCTCCCCAGCAAAATATATTGAGCTGAGATGTAATAGCCCTTAAGGCCAACAGCGTTTAGATTTCTTTTAATTAAAAAAAGTTTAGTGCCCTTTCTTTTATAATTAATAAATAGTGTGAAAATGTAATTGTTACTGTTGTTGATTCGTGATTCTAGGTATTTGTGTTTAGGGCTTAGAACAAACATTAACTAACTAATTTATATCACGCACAAAACACTTTCAAAGTAACTCAGTTCCGCCTAGTGTTTGGTGCCGTTGTGCGTTAATATAGTCAACCAAGCTTCTTCCAGAAGCTCTGAGACTCAGATTTTCCTGGGTATTTAGCAGGCTTCACGGAGCAACACACAACACATACGAAACAATATATTTTTGGAGGGAATTTATACATAAAATTGAAAAATACATTATGCATTAATCAAACATTATACGAACAGTTTAACGTTGTTTATTCCTTGGGTGAACCTTGGTGAACCACCATCGTTAAAGGCGAGTGGAGGATTGAAGTGTTTGGTTGACGCTGTATCTCTTTGAATAAGAAAAGGCCGAGTGTAGCCCCAGCCCCAGTCCCCAGTCAAGTCTCACAGCTTTGCCTCTGGTCTGCGTAGGCGCATTTGAATGCATACTGTATTGTTTCTGTTATTAAAATGAAATATTATTAATTATTTTTATAAAAATAATATGATCATTATTATTAAATATTATTAAAATAAAATACAATATATTAATCAAAAAAAAATTTTAATTGTTTACGGTAAGATTTTGTGTTTCTAGGAGGGTAAAAGTGTTTGTTTTACTTTATTAAATTAAAAAAATGAAGTAAATATTCTCTTAAAAATGTATTAATTGTATTTAACGCTTCAATTAGTTAAAATAATTCGTCATGTTTATTCATTTCCATTGACAATACTGTCAAGGGCATTAATTTAGGATTCGTTTTATAATTTGTAATAATAAGTTGTTGTGCATTGTTAAGGCTTCGCTCTAATTCTGTGACTAAAGGCTCCAATACAAGTATTAGGTTCGCCCGGTTGCGCAAGTGTTTTTATTTTAAAAAATACCTGTACATCTAATTACTTGGTCTGAACGGGGAAGCTTATTCACCGGGAACTACGTTTTTGTCATAAAACGCAGGAGGCTCATCTGATGTCAGTGTCTCCCATGGACACTGACATTGCCGATCACGCATATGCGTTGCCGGCCTTTAAATTGAAGGCTATATTAAAACATATAAATAAATCAATACTACATAAATATTTGCGTTTTAAAAGCCGCACATGGAAGCTAGTCTAGAAATCTTGCTTCATTATACGTTTAATGACAAATAATCATAATAATATCGATATAATGCGAATTGCGTGTACATAAACACGCTACTTCAAGGTATATGTATTATGCTAATGTACTCTACAAGTACATGTATTTTATTTATTAATATTGCAAGTTTATTTTTACCAATTTTATATTAGCGGCCGTTCAAATATTACGTAAGCATTTTTACTAACTTATTTATGCTTCCCTCATCAAGCAAAAGTAAGCAAATTTCTCAAAAATAATGGAGTATGAAGGATTCCTATTCCACCTACTAAAAGAATGTCCTAACTTTAAGCTGTATGTGACTCCCGTGTGTGTACTGTAGCTACGGTAACAGCATTAGACCAATCATTTTATTATTCTTAAAAATAATCTTCTGGTCGTTCCACAACTAGAGTTTCTTAAATCAGTTTTGCCGAACCAATTCGACTTACTAACTTTCCTTTAAAAAAAGAGTGCACCAATTCTTAAAAGGCCGGCAACGCACACGCCTTATGGTATCCGTCCATGGGCAATTCAATTAACATCAGGTGAGCTTCCTGACCGTTTGCCTATTACATAAAAAAAAACTTTATAATATTGAATACTTCTATACAATACTATAGGCTACACAAAAATGCTATAGTTGACGAAAATTCAATACAGTGAAGCTAAGAAAGAAATAGTTCATAAGTTCAAGGCCGTGCGAGATAAAAATTACATAAGACTAACTACATGTTAGTTTTAAATACAAATCGTTTTCGTCGGGGTTTGTATGGATCGGGTAAAATAAATTAGTTCAGTTTCATGGGAATGCATTATAGTTTGAATCGCTCAATTTTTGTTTCTCCATGCTTTAATGTAATCTTAATATATAGTAGTTAGTTACACCACTTATAACTCAAGATCGGCTGGACCGATGTTAGTTAGCTCTTTTTTGGTGGATTCGTCTCCGCTCCGAATAGCAGAATAAGTAATAAAATATCGGATGAGTCTTCGAATAACAATAAATTAATTTTTACGAATGCAATTACCATGTGGTGCCATCTGTTGACAAAATTACGCACCATTTTACGTAGAATTTGTGTCAGTACAAGAAATTCCAATCTTGAAGTGAATGAGGCGATGCATAACCAGGCTTAGATCTTGATCGAAGACATGTGTTACCTCATCAAAAAAATGATGGATATCAGAAAGTGCTTTTTTAACATGCAGTATCGAAATATTGGCGCTAGAGAGAAGAGGCCTAATGTGTAAAACTGTCATTCTTCTTTTGCAATGGCAAGCAATAAATTATTTCTGTTAACAGTCATGTAACATGGAATGTTATATTATTTGACTGTTAGGCGGAACGAAGTTAGCCGGGTCAGCTAGTATATCATGTTTACCACTCGGGTATAAGAAAAGAATCACTCTAAAGTCAATTAATGGTGAATAATTGATTTGTAATACTCGTTAAAAGTGCATGCTGTATACTCATGGGACGATTTAGATAATTTACCATGCTTACAAAATAATAAACTAGTTGTCAACCGGGCCCGGCGGGAGACGCTCGCAAGTAAGTTGCCGGCCTTTTAAGAATTGGTACGCTGTTTTCTTGAAAGAACCTAAGTCGAATTGGTTCGGAATACTGCAGTTGGCAGCTGGTTCCACATACTAGTGTGCGCGGCAACTACTGCCTTAATAACACTCAATTTTGGATCGACGAACGTGGAGGTGATACGGCTGGAACTTCTGCTTCGACGGAAATTCAGCTGCAGGTAATTATTTGAACAACTCTGAACGCTCTCCATGGTAAATGCGGTAGAAGATGCAAAGAAACCCCACATCTCTACGCAACGACAAGGGACCAAAGAGCTCTTGAAGTGACTGGTCGTCGACGATTCGAATCGCTCTTCGTTGAATTATACAAATTTAATATTAGTACACGACACTTTCTTACAATTCTATATGTTTAATTTTTATTACGCTTATAACCTCTACAATTCGTTATTATTAACAACCTTACAACCATATTAAAAACTTTACATTTCAAGGAAATTCATTGAAAGTCAAGGATTTATAGTCTGTTTTTAAAGTTTTACTTAAGGAATTTTTTACTTAAAACAACTTTTGTGTATAATAAAATATTTAAATCCGAATAGCTAAAACAAAAAAGGAAGGCCATTTTCTGTATTATAAAACGAGCCGGAAAATTCTCAGACAATTTTTATTGTAATAATAAACCATTTTTGAAACTAACTGACACTTGGCTGACTCAGTCGTTATAATACACATTATGCAATTATAACAATTTTAATGTAAGGGGGCGTCCATAAATTACGTGAGGGGGTCGAGTCAAATCTCATTTAATCTTACGTTGGAGTGAGGGGGGTCTCTGCAAATATCACGCAATTTTTTTCTGATTGAAAAAAAAAATAGGAAAACGGTTGACCCTAAAGGCCATCTCTGCAACTTCTGCTAACTCCATACCTAAGATACAGAAAATTTAAAAAACACCTCACGTAATTTATGGACGCCCCCTAATCCTTTTTTTAATTTAATTATTATTAATGAACTTTTTATTTTAATTTTATAATACCATTCTACCAAAATTAATTAAAATTAGTCCATTGGGCAGATTATGATAGATCCTTCTCTCGAATTTTATATTAACAGTTTTCAACCTGAATCATCTTTTTTAATACCATTCGTATCACATTGGCGTCCGTCGTTCCACAACTGAGCGTTTCTTAAGGCGGTTTTTTCCGCGTACCATCACTATGTGGAAACAGCTGCCCACTGAAGTATTTCCGAACCAATTGGACTTCAAAAAAAAACTTACCAATTCCTTAAAGGCCGGCAACGCATTTCTAGCAATGAGTGTCCATGGGCGGTGGTATCACTTAACTTTCTCTGTGTCTAAAAAAAAGTGCGTGCGTACAAAGTACACATGTCAGAAGTTACACTTCTTTGGCAAACTAATTTATAAGCCACGTTCATATTTATACAAATCTAAAACTTTAGATTTCCGAGACTTAGAGGGAGGGAAAAAGGAAGATATGTTAGTTATTTAATTGTCATTAAAATATTAAGTGTCGAAAAAGTATAAAAACTTAATACAAATAATAAACTAATTTTTTTTTAAATTTATTTCTTCGATAATAAAAACACGTCGCATTTTAATTTACAATTCGTCATTTGAGATTTCAATAAATTATTTTGCATATAATATAAAAAAAAATATTTCATAGATTCTCTTTATGAATAATTTGGAAACCCTTCACTCTCTCAATCGGTCTCAATCGCTCTAACCCTTTTCTTCGACAAAAACGCTGCACATATTCGTGACATTTTTTTTAAATTTACCCTCATGCGCCTAAAGAAGTTTCACTTCAAAAAGACAGAACACTTATTTATTTAATAGGTTATAAATATGTCATGATATAATTGTTTCTGTCTCAGGCCAAATTAGAAAGCGAAAAACTTATGATGATTTAATTGATTTCAGCTTCATCGAGCAAGACAAAGTCTCTGGTTTTTGGACGACGATGTTCGTCCTCTCAAAAGTACCAGAACTCGGTGACACCGTCTTCATTGTGCTGAGGAAGAAGCCCTTGATCTTCCTCCACTGGTACCACCACATTACAGTCCTGCTGTACACATGGTACTCCTTCACCGAGTTCACCTCATCCGCCCGTTGGTTCGTCACTATGAACTATTTTGTTCACAGGTAATTAATTATTTTTAATTTCAAAAGGAGGTTCTTGATTCGTCGAAACCTTTTTTGTAATAGACGAGAATTCGAGTGCACCTTTGTGCTCCATTTTTAAAATTCGAATAAGCTTAAGGATTTATTGCAAGGTGGGCAACGGCACCCGTGATTTTATTAAATCTTTATGTAAATGGCCTTTTTGTAGACGATATTTTATTTAAATAACAAGTGACCGAAATGTTTTCCCAAAAATATATCAAAATAATATAATAATTTTTATAGGCACCTGGTAGATAAACATTCTCCTAATTATAAATATACATCCTTACATATTTGGTTTTTAGCAAATAACCGATGAGCGCACTAATCCTGCAGCCGGATCTTGTACTATGAGCAATTTACAGCTCTCGGCCATACTAATGTGCTGTAATTCAATTATTTTTTGACTCCATAATTCTCCCCATGATTGAATAAAAACGAAATTAGGCAAAAGTGTGTTTTTTGTATCGCGGAATTAATATTGTATTGTGTAATTGATTCCATTTTAATTATAGTGAAGAATCAAAACATATTGATTGTTATTAATTCAAGCATCACATTCTTAGATAAAATGAAATCTACGATGAGTGATTTTGGTTATAGCCCGCTCTAAGATAATCTAGTTAAAGTCTGTGTAGAAAGATGGCCGGCGCGGCGATTACCATAACTTATTTAATTTTATTAAATGCTTTGAATTATTTGATTTATTAATTTAAAATATACTTAATTTCTTCATTTGTTTCAAGATTACTGTCGAGCTATAATGACGTAAACGTTAAACATATAAAAAATGCTAATTAAGCACTACTGTTCACTTTTCAAACAGACTACATCAAAATAACTATTTTCTGTTCACTCTTCCTTTCCGGGAATGATGATATGAATGATAAATGATGAATTAACCAGATCACCCATCTTTTCAGCGTGATGTACTCCTACTACGCGTTAGTAAGTATGGGCAAGTACCCGCCGAAATTCTTCGCAATGACCATCACCTTCCTCCAGCTCACACAGATGATAGTGGGCTGCGGTATCAACATCTGGGCCCACAATTACATGGCCACAGCTCCGACGCATCCCTGTGGGATCAGTCAAATCAACATCAAACTATCAATGGCCATGTATTTCTCGTACTTCGTGCTGTTCGCCAGGTTCTTCTACAAGGCCTACCTTTCGCCCAAACCGGGGAAGAAAGCAAAGATCGAGCCGGAAATCACAGCGCCACCCAAGAAGGAGTTCAATGGATACCCCAGACAAAGAAATGGTGTTGTGCACTAGTCCAATCTGTGATTTTAATTAGGTCGAGCCGTCGGGTAATCTCAGGTTTTTATCGCTATAGCCTAAACACGTTCTCTGTATTGCCAAATTTTTCTAGACATATTTACCCGCTTGGTCACCGTCACATAAAGGTACAAGGTAAAGGAAAAATGGCTTTTTAAAACACTAAACATCAAACTCAACGATTTAAAATCAAAAATTTTAGAGAATTTACGTAAGGTCAAAGATCGATTATCGATTGCAATTAATAAATGAATGATATAACCCGCGTTCTAATTTTAAATATACCAAAAAGAATTGGTTGGAAAGAAAAAGAAAAAATACTACACAGGTAACATTCATTGTTAGCGACATCTAATGTTTTTGATTTAATAACTAAAGCGAAATGGAAGATTCTTTGCTTCACGACGGATACAGATGACAGCAATCTTAATCGTATTTGACCTCGGAGTAGACTTATCGTGTTTTCTGCACGTTTTCACTTTATCGTTAACATACGTTATGACATAAATCACTATCCGGGTTTAATGTTCTATAATATTGTCTTAACAATTGAGAACATTTTAGGTATTGTGTATACATAGATTAAAAATCTATCATATGCTGTGGTAGATCTTAACTAGAATAATATAAAAAATAAAGTAGTTCTTTAGGTAGAACTTTGTAGTCTGTGGCAGTAGACAGGGCGGGTAAATGTGATTTAAGTGTTAGTCTGTCCTATAAAAAACCTAGCCCATTTCATCACGTGCCAAACCAACCTATAGCACTATCTTACAGCCATTAAATAATTTTATTAATCAAAGTTACCATTTCCTTTGATAAAAACCTGAAATTATCTGAAATCGGCGTCAGGTTAGGATGACCGCCATTACATTCCACGCTACATTTTTCGCGGGGTCGAACAATTTAGTACGTTTCAAAATGGCGGCGTCTTTAAGAATCTGGTCAGAGACGTCAAAATTGAATCTGGTAAATCCCAGTTCTCTGACCAAGTTGTGAACGCTTGTAATACATTTTAACGCCAACGTCCTCGTTTCCAATAACTATTAGACGGGCAGTTAAAACGAGAATAAAGCAAAATCTAAATGTTACGATTAACGACTCGTTTTTTGTAACATTACTTTTTGCGAGTAGATATAGACTAGACTAGATTCGGATTAGGACGGTGATATACAAATTCAAGTTCAATGCAATTTTTTTGTATCGGCTTTGCGAAGCGTTCAAGTTGTTATCGTATTTATTGAATGATTTTTTAATTTATTTGTATCACCTGTATAGGTTATAATTCGCTTCGCCATAAATCGTCTAAAATCAATTCGCAATCGGAAGCATTTAATAATATAAAGCAATGTGAATTTTAAAAAGGTCGATAACAGTATCAACTGTCAACGTGTCAACTGTCTCAACTTGACAGGTGTCAAAGTCTTTGTCAGCTTGAGAGATTTGACATTTCGCGTTGATTCGCGTTTCCTATCACAGATATTGGAAAAAAATCGACAGTTCCAGCGTTATTAATATTTTGCATTAACTTGTGTTATACATTATAAGGCGAATATTTAGACGAGAGGCGATTTCGTTAATTATTTATTATGCTTGTATAACAGGCATTTCAGGTAGCGGAAATAATCGGAGATCTTAAATGTATTTTATTGCATGGCAATAAGGTTTAAATTTGATTGCAAAAGGGACTTTTGTCTAATACCGCTTGTCAAGGTACAAATTTTTGACCTTTTATTGTTTGATTAGAGATGAATGTATAAAGAAATGGCTCGTGGTTTGCTTTAGCCAAACGTTGTACAAAGCTTAGTTTTAGCGTTATAAACAATTTTTTCCAGTTAAAAGTCGAAATAGAAAATTTAGAATCTAGAAAAATTTCCGTAATCTATATGAAAGGTTTATTTAAAAAAAGGTAAAAAGGAATATTCGTAGAAAAATCGTAGGAGAGTTTTTCTTCATGGTAAAGATAAGGATGGTATATGGCAATACAAATACAAGCGTGTGTGATTAACCAAACATACTTCATAGATTTCATGTGTCAAGGACGGGTTTATCTTAACAATATTTTCGTAGTTTTTAGTTAACCTCACGAGTACACAATGCCATAGAGAAACAAAAGTATAATTTTAAAGCTTTTACAAATTTGTAGTTAATAATCTTGAGATTTTGTGATTTTTCCGATCTGGTATAACACTTGATACTTTGCGTCATATATTTCTATGAAAAATAATATTAGTAAAACCGATTTCCAATTCTCATTCTCAAGGGACTTCAATGTCTTAACGATGGATACAGAATTTGTTGTTCTGTCAATATCAGCAGCGCTGATGTCATTCATGCATTATATGACGTACGAAATTTTTATACATTTGACAGTGACGTAGAGTTGTCAAACTCTTTAAGGTAAAGTTATCAAGTTGTAGAGTAGATCGGTAGAATCAGCTCTGCATAGTTTAGTTAGAAGATAGCCTGATATCCTTAAGGACTTTGCTTAGTGTAAAATTTATACACTTGCAATGTTCACTTCAATGGTTTTGATTAATAGGAAATTATTAAAAACTGCTTTTTACCCTAATATTTTATTTATTATAAAACTATCTAAGACACTTAGCATGAACTATGCGATAGTTCTAGGCATTAGTATCAAACGATGCATATTTACAAATTGTACTAAAAATATAGTTGGTGCTTCCGATTTAGTTCCAACTAAGCACGGAGCGCTCTTCAACAATTCTTAACGTTTTGTGATTATATTATTTTGTATGAAAATTCAAGGATATCGTAGTGTTTGTGCTAAGGGTTAAGATATAATTTAAATATATAAATTTACAATTTGTATGGCGTCAAGCGAGGTGAACAAATTACACCAATTCGGTTTGAACACTGAATTGAAAATACCAGTGGTGCACTTCGACCGGTTAAAGTTGAGCTACGATTGTCTGTCTTGCTTATTTCCATATAAAATAAGCAGGATGGCAATGCTTGCCAGTATATTTCTGAGCTGTTATTTATTATTGTTATCTTTTATACGCTTTGTAATACAGTTTACACAGTTTTTCGTTTATTTTATTTCCCTGCACAATATAAAATTATAGTTTTCGGTGATAGTAGGTATTACAAGGTTTTTGCGGGAATTGTGCTATTTTTATTTTGTACTTTTATTGTTTTTATAAGGCGAATGTTCCACGGCACTTGAAGAATTTGGTGCTTGTCACTTTTTAAATATAGAAGCTTTATGAAGTTTTAAAAGGTTTTCCCAAATTGTAAATATTCCATAACATATTTTTAATCTTAAGCTGATACTATAATCATGTAAATGCAATCTGTTGAGTACTAATTAATTATAGAAAAGTGCTATAATTAACTGAAGCTTCCCTGTTAAAGAGAGTTACCATAGACAATGTTTAGTATAAAATCCACGTTTTAGATTTTGTTAACCATAAAACGCCTTTATACATTAGTATTTCTTAAATATGCTGAAGATACACAATATGTAGAACAAATTATGAATGTATCATGGTTGTGAGTGTAAGAAAATAAATGTAGCATTTAACAGTTGCTTAGACTAGTAAATGATTGATGACGAGTAGAAAATATTGTAAAATCAGATGTTTTAACTTTATGATTACATATATACATATTGTGTTTCATAAGCATTTTGCATTTATATAGTTGCATTTACATGAAATGGTTAAGCCTAGCTCGTAGCTAGAACAAATTAACAATTATCACAGTACATAATTGAGAATATATTTTTGTGGGATGTTTTGTGGTCAAAAATAAAAGCCGACTGTATTATCACAATAAGTATGTTTAATATAAATGGATTGGAAACAGACAACATGCAATTATTAATTTGTATTTTGTGGGCAAATAAAGCGTTAATGCGTCATATTTTGCGTATTTTTATTATCTTCCTAAACCTTCTACTACATATATGGAGAAATACCGAGATATGTTATCCTATATGATACTAGTAGCAATAATAAATAATTCAGGAATATTTCTATATATTAAAACAGGTAAATAAACGACTTTGCGAATAGTTTTGATTGATCAATAAGTGTTTGTGTAATATTCATACAATAGGATTTATAGTCGTGGAACAAATTTGTGATACAAGACAAGACATTATTATTTGCCTTGCGGCCTGTTTAAATTCTTAGGACCATACTTCATTGTCCTATGCATTTTTTTGCCTCTTATGATTTATGTACATTCTACAATTTTATGGGGGCAAAATACTAATAGACGTCCAACGAAAACCTTGGCTTTTTCAATTATTATAGTTGTTGCTTTCAAAGAACATAGTTTTTGATTAGTCTTAGTTACTAAGCCGTAATCTTGCCAATACACATATTACATATTAATAGGAAAGTTCAAAAGGAATTAATCATTAAATAGACTATAGAGATATTTTATCATCAGTGGTCGTATACAGTTTATATAGTCTGCTATTTAAATATTGACATTGATATAAGACTCTTTGAAATGTCATAAACATATGGTCGGGCTATTGCCAAATTATTGACATTTTAGATTATATATTCGGATTTTTCGCATTTCCAAAGTTTTCTTCATCATAATATTATTAAAACCCAGTCATAATATGGATATTGTGGATATGGATATAAGGCAGTGGGATGTAAACGACGTAAAAGAACAATTTGGTGACAGTTTAACATTATTACCACCAAACGATAACATTAAGGAATTGCAAACAATACTACGTGACAAGTAAGGTTATCTTGTTTTATTATAAATAGCTTCTTGTCCTCTTGTTTTTTTACTTTTAAATCCAAATTCTCTCACATTGTTTTTTCAACCTAGTTAGTACCATAACTATGTTTTGAAGCACTGTTTTAAGTATAGTATCTTAAAATTAAAGGAACACAACCCGAAGTGATTTTAAATTTTATGCTGATCGTTTGATACGATTAGTGATTGAAGAAAGCCTTAACAAATTGCCATTTACTGATTGTGAGGTAGTGACACCCACTGGAGCACTGTACAAGGGATTAAAGTATGGTTCAGGAAATTGTGGAGTCTCAATTGTGAGATCTGGGGAAGCTATGGAACAGGTATGTTGTTGTTTTATTTATAAGTCTAAATACTACCTAACAATATAATTCATTAATTAATCAATATTTAGTAAAATGTGCAACAACTGTGTATAACTTAGCGTTAAGTTTTTTGCGGAAGGGCTTGAAATCCTGACGGTACCTGAAATCTAAAACATGTAATGCATAGGACATACTTTAATGTATAAACACATTTGGATTATCTATTACAGGCAACAATAAATTATTAAGTCAAGCACATAGAGTATTGACATTGGTCACAACATGACCAGATTTGTGGTGATTGAAAGTTTGTCAATATCTTTTAGTAGAAATTCTTAAAATGTTCACTATTCCACAATGAACTGATTAGTGAAAGATAATATGTTTGTGGAAGTAGAGGAAAGAAATATTTTACATTGTACCTATAAAACAAGATTTTTTAAATGTATACCAAAGACAATATTATCTTCTACTGTATTACTAATTAATACATAATAACTTTTTAATTTCAGGGTTTACGCGATTGCTGTAGATCAATTAGAATAGGCAAAATCCTGGTAGAAAGTGACAATGATACTCATGAAGCCCATGTTGTTTATGCCAAGTTTCCAGAGGACATAGCTCGAAGACAGGTGCTCCTTATGTATCCAATAATGTCCACTGGCAACACTGTTAAACAGGTCTGTTAATTTTTTATAGTGCGGCTTATTTGTCAATCTAGAATCTAGATGAAAACTGTCTATAGTTGTCATTACTATAGAAAAAAAAGGGTGCGTGTACTTATGTATGCGCGTAAGAAGTTATATTTCTTTGGCATTATTAAAGATAGTTTTTGATTGCATGCAAATAAATAATTACAATTAAATAATCAAAGACTGGAAAAGGAGTCATTATAGTCAATGAAGTTCAGTTTACATTTGAAAAATTAAATAAATAAATATTTATTATTATTCTCTTACATTAAGTGTAACATAAATTCTATTATTATTTGAATGTTGTTTTTAAATTGTTGCCCAATGTCCAATGCCGTAGCATCTTCCGTGGGAAACTTCATTCTGTTAATTTTGTGTCACGATGCACGCGCATCGTAAAATTTCACTCTCATCAATTATTCATAACGCGCCTAAAGAAGTATAACTTAAAAAAATATTTTACTATATCAGTTAAAAAACTTAGCCTAGACTAGTCAAGATTTCGGCCATAGTTTGGTAGAATTTCCTTCATGTTTTATTTCCCAATGCACATTATACCACTAATCTAAATATATAAAAATTAATTGCTGTTTCTTTGTCTCTTGAAAACTTGAGTATGGCTTAATCAATAAGGCTAATTATATTCTTAAAATATTGAAGGACATTCAGTAAAGGTTTAAACAGTTGGCAACATAAATAATAAGTATAGAAAAATACTAAAAACTACAATTGAGTGTTCAATAAAAACTGTTCCTAGCGCCTAGATATTATAAGGTGATATGATAATAAATATTTGATATACAGTGTAAACTATATAACGACACTCAAGGGTCTGTGCCTATTTTGACGTTACAAACAGTTGCCGCTAAATGGGAAGAAAAACCTGTATTAGAAATATAAAGTTTATTTCAGACTAGTGTTAGTAATTACTTAAAAACAATTCGTATTTGAACGCTATTGCGTTGTCTGTTTTATTGTACTGTACCAGTAGTTGGGTTGTATTTTTTTACTTATTTAATTCATATCTTGAGATATTGAGGCATCTTCGTGATAAAGCACATGCAAGCATGCGCAATTTGTAAATAAAAGAACGTATTTCTCGGAAAGTTCGGTATGTATGACGATTACCGACAGTCGAGTTTATTTCTCGCTAGGACAATAAAGCGACAAAACAAAGTATACAGCTCGGCAGTTTTAACTTATTTCGGCAACTTATGAAGTACTTTTTAGTATTTAGTTGTTCTCGTTATTGAGGGTATAATACTATGTATAGTGTATCATTGTATGGAAGAAGCTAAACCAACCAAAGCTGAGTGATTTCGACGCTTTAGGGGTTTGTTGTTAATCGAGGGTCGTGGAGTGTATTTTGTTTTTAGAAAAAAAAAATTTCACATGTTTATAATGCCTTCAGAAATTTGTGTTTCATTACTCTAGTAGGAAGTCTGATCGTTGGTTGGTATTGAAAATTTTGTATTCAGTTTAACACAAATATCGCCATATGTTTAAGATACGAAGTTCAACGGGTCATCGAGCATTAAATAAATATCACAAACGATTCACATAAATAGGCAGAAACTTCAACTTTAAAAAGGGCAAAAAAACTCATTAGAAGAGAACAAAAATCTATAACATATTTTTAATATAGTATTGGGCGGGATGCAACTGAGCAGATATATCACCTTGAATCAGGTGCTAACCGCCGTCCATGGACACCTGCGACGCTGGGGGGCTAGCGGGTATGTTGCCGGCTTTTGGAGGATAAAATTATGGAACCAGACTTTTATATAATAAAATATATACAATTTCAGGCAGTAAACGTCTTAACACAACACGGCGTTAAAGAAGAACGTATAATACTTTCGAATCTCTTCTGTACGCCTGCCGCAGCTCAAGCGGTGGTCGATTATGTCCCAAAGATGAAGATACTCACCTCTGAATTGCACCCCGTAGCCCCAAACCATTTTGGTATGAAATACTTCGGAACTGACTGATATGAGGATGAAGAGGTATAAACATTTTGTGATTAATATGGTGGCTATTGGGCAAATGTTTTGTGTTTGAATAAATAGGTGTAATGCCTTATATACAGGTTTCGAATATGATTTTTAAGCTATTGCATAGCTTTGAGCGCGTCAACCGAATCAAGAAATTCCGTAACGAAAATAAAAAATCGGTTGTCTGTAAAGTCGGTTTACTGACGATAGTTGAACGTGAAAACGTCTTAAGAAAATACTGATGGAATGGTTGCATTTTTCAAAAGAATATTTCAATTTTATTTGTTTGATAGATATTTGGTATGGATATAGAAAAGGGGTAGATGGAAATCACAATTGAATTGATCAAGTTACATTTATTTGTACGCGTAAATACAATTATGTCAATTTTTTAACGAACGAACGCTGCCGAACGCGGAGTCCGATTGTGCCTCTTTGTCGCTCGTTCCGCGCTCTCTCTTGCACTTCAAGCCTTAAATGGAACGCCTCAGAGCGATGTAACGCCGCATACGTCAAGAGCGAGGTAACGCCGCATGCGTCATGTTTTTTCGTGCGTGCAGCCGGCTCCATCGAATTATAAGGCGTTGTCACGTCAAAACCCCAACACACGATGACGTGATATAGGTGTGGCCAATACGCGTTAGAGCGGGACAAAACGCATACTGCGTCTCACATCGGTCTGGCGTGATCGGTGACGTACCGCAGGTGCGTTAGAGTGGGACAGAACGCATACTGCGTCTCACATCGGTCTGGCTTGATCGGTGACATTTTTTGTTAAATAATGCCTTCATTGTTTTTGTGATTGTGACGTCATAAGTAATTTCTTTGTTTAACAATACCATCGAACCTATAGTCAGAGGGGTAGAATTTACTACAGAAGAAAATATACCAATTGACACTCATGTATGATTCAAATTCTCAGCCTATTTCAAATTTATACGCCATTGCTTGTGTTATTTAGAAAGAAAACAAAACATTTGCCGCAATGATTACCTTATTCGTGTTTATACCATCATAAATTAGATTAAAAAAATAAAAGTTCCTAATCTTAAGTCTTGTTGTATAACTTTCTACTAACAATTTTCTTTAAGTTTTACTGACAAACAAAATGTACCTATATTATGATCTAGTTAATGTATTGTTTTTTGCCTTCTATAGCAAAATAATGTTTGCTTGAATGATCACTTTCATACGATCTAAAAGTTAGTGGGTCTAAGTATTTTTGGCTAAGATCCCAGTAGTTGTCAGATTATTTCTAAAAGTATGTCACTACAATTAATGAAGTTTATAAATTTCCTAGGAAAATAAAAATCGTAGGATTCTTAAACGAGATATTGATCAATTTGCGACGTCTCGTGGTATATTTATAAACTAACGGATTTCCATTCGAAAGATTCTAAACGCTTAGGTTAGTTTAGTGACTAATTTAACCAATCAGAGCGCACATGCTGTTTGGTTATCGCTTACTTATTATTTTACGAGTGAGTTCCGTAAGTTTATCAATTTGCGAAAAAGTGGGCGTAAAATAATACAATTTATCACTCGTTTAGAATCTATTCCTACGAAATTTAAAATTGTGGATTTTGTTATATTCCGGTGACATATATACCTACTATATCTGAATTTGGTACTAAAAATAGGTTGAATACTTCTAAAATAATATTACGTGTCCGTCGAATATTGTATTCTAATTCTCTTCGATCACTAACTATCGCATTTCAGGAACTGTCTGAGGATGACGAATCTAATAATTATAAAGTTTCATACATAAAGCTATTTAATTGTTATTCCTCGCTGGTAAGACCTAATCAAATATTGTAAATAAATTTTATACGTATTATAACTAAATTATTTGACGGGTCAGCCTGTGGGCTTTTTCGTGTATCAAATGTATTATTCTAATAAATTATAAAAACTAGTTAAATATAATGCAAAGTTTTTATTTAACTCCCAATAATGATTACTATCATTGTAGAGCAGTGTTGGTCTGGTGGCTTCAGCGTGCGACTCTCATACCTGAGGTGCACCAATGGACTTTCTTTCTATGTGCGCATTTAACATTCGCTCGAAGGTGAAGGAAAACATCGTGAGGAAACCAGCTTGCCTTAGACCAAAAAACAAAAGTCGAGGGCGTGCGTCAGCAACAGAAGGCTGATCACCAACTTGCCTATTAGATAAACAATTGATCATGAAACAGATACAGAAACCTGAGGCCCTGACCTAAATCATCAGCTGATATTGAGACCTTCATTGAAATTGCAAATAAAACGTCGGGGTCGCTGAAGGTGAATACAGGCTTATATGCATCATATTATAATATCGAAAACCTATTTAAACCAGTGTTCCCAACCAACCTTTTTTGTGCCATAATCTCTATTAATATGGGTGCGTTGTTGAACAGGAACCAACCTTTTTCTAAGTCATAAACTTGTAAGAAATTAAAGTTAAGAATTTCGTTTTGGTGTCATGGTTTAGGCAATTTTATACAGTATCTCATATTCAGGTTACAGAAAGCCAGAGAAAAAAATTAAGACCGTAAATTAAGTTTAAAAAAACAAAAATTGGCTCACTGTGTACTATAGGGAGTATACACTGAACCACAATGTCGTTACCAGTAAAAATCCTTATTTGTGAAAAGACACCATAATATTTTTGATAATCGTCTTTTATTTTTGTTGTACAAAATACAATAAAAAAGTATTAATTCTAATAACAAAAAAAAATGTTTTCTATGGTAATAATAATAATAATAAATTCAGCAAAAAATAAACATAACATATCAATAATTAAAGTTTCAAATTATAAAGGTTTCGTATAGTCTTCACACAGTTAACTTCTTAATCACATCAAAATGCGTAAAGTAGGTAAATATTTACACCATACTTATAAAGATAAGTTTACATTGAAGGAATATTTAAAATAAAGAGTGCCTTTTTCTCGACTTGTCACTTTACCTACTTTAGCTCCTGTTGGACACAACTCTCTGGTTTCTGGACGTTGTTGTGGGTTTCGTCAAGATTAAATATTCGAGTTCCATCCACGAATCTAGCTCCCGTTTTAGCAATTCCTCCAAATTATTAGAAAATATTGAAGCTTCCCGATTGAATGAGGTAGCTCGTGGAGACTTACAGCTTCTGTTTTCTTTACTGAAATATCAGGATTCTTTTTTAAATAAGCGAAACCATCCCAAACCTGACATTTTATCCCTTTCCCATGAGCTGGTATTTCAATGCCATTAACCTTTGCCATTTGTAAGCCACCTTCCTACATTCTTTGATGGTCAAACCGTAGAACATTAGTGACAGTCTTTGAGTATTTTAATAATATTTGTTCGTGTTCTTAGTAAACACTTTATTAATATCATACCTCGGTTAGTGAAATAACATTTGACGTTTTTTTAACGTAAGGCACAATGTAGGGTAGGGAATTTTATGTGGGTCTAAGATACCATTTTCTATCATTAGTAATGTGACATCATATCCTCTTTATGTTCCAATTTTCTTTCCTTATTTTGCATCCTAAAACAATCAAAAATATTATTGATTTTCAGCATAACACTATCATTGAACATGAACCAGATCGAAGTACACAGTGAACCGGTTCACTGTTCAATACACACACTATTCAACATAAAATTAAAAAAATAGGTTGTAGGCTAAATTGTCACAAAGCAATATGTCAAAAACGTCTAAAACTACAACAATATCGACACCATAATGCTTTTGGGCTGGAATTAATAACAAAATATATAAAAATCGAGATACTTACGTGAGAAATCTATGTTTTTTGGCGAGAAACAAACAAACCGCTGTCATACGTCCACTTAAGCCGCGGCCACCGGCTAGGGGAGAGGAAGGGTGCCTGGGGGGGGGGAGGGGAAGGGGGCCAGCGAGAGAAGTTTTAACATGATCGGTCGAATTGACAACCTCGCATTTTTTCAAATGGTGGTGGTTCAATGTTCCTGGTTGGTTCACTGTTCAACAACGACTATACATAATTTTTAATATCAAAATTGTTCACTAAGAAACTTATATGATAGGTTTAAGGAAGAAATTACTAGGCAATTGCTAACCAAACACAGTAAGTTAATTTTCAAAACATAATAAAAAACGTCGAGTCCATTTTTGGATTGCCCCTCTTAACAATCAAATTGCCCCCCTGTGGGGCGTCGGCTCCTACGTTGGGAATCACTGCTTTAGTCCGATGTTGTTAATGTTAAGTAGGAAATAATTCTAAGTTTTAGGTTACCCGCATACACCTAAAGAAATATAACTTGGTAAATTCAATACGTTTACTAATCTATTTTACGATATTATTAGTATGCCGAAAATAGTTTATAAAGAGGAATATTAATGACAGAAATGTGTTGAATTATGCGTATTTGAAACTTCTTTTCTGCGGCTCTATATTTTACTTTGTGACATTTGAGTTTAGTAGAATATTACAACTGTAACTAATAATATAATAAATATGTTAAGTTAATATATAATATACATCTTTAAAAAAAATATCAAAGTTTATTGTCATCACAATTCTATTTAATTGTCAAAAGCGCGCCTGCCTGTGTGCTTCTATACTTATTACTAACATTTATTTCTAAATATTGGAGGAATACTGGAAGGGATCCATAATAAGGACAAATATGTCCACCACCCAATGCACAATGTATGGGATAAATAATAACAAACAATGAAGTTACTTTTGATAATTTAATTTATAATATAATACAATCTATGGGTAGATAAATACAAGAATATTAGATCAGATCACACAGTTAAGCAAAATGTATACACATAAATATAATCTTTCATCAACATGAATAATTTATCCCTTAACAATTAACCCTTAAAGTGTTCCCCTGACGTTCATGGTCTCAATTCTCGGATGTTCTCTTACACTAAACTAGAAAAATATGTAAAAATAGATTAACATTTACATTTAACACGACTCCTATTCGAGAACAAAAATATTATTTTATTAGTAAAAACTAGACATTGTCAACAATTTAGTGTTAGGAAGCTATTCTGGCAATGATCGCACATCACCCGATGAATAAATACTTAAATCGTACGTTACTTTGTCGATAAAACTTACGCATAAACAACGACAAGCACTATTTCTTATATTCTAGTAATAAAAACTCGAAAACTACATACTTAGCACGAGATGTATAATTGTGTTGATAAATTATTACAATAACAACACAAAATATCCCTCAAATTGACTTAGATATGTTATTAAGGCATCGTGTGAATTGCACTAGGTATCAACTTAGGTACCTAAAGGACTAAATACGACAGCCAAAGCGAAATAATACGGCGATTAGCATATGTTCGATAAATACAATGTTAACAAGTTAAACAATCAAAATATATAAACATCTTAAGTAAAAAGCAAAAATACTTTTGTGCATCCACTTTTTTTGTGATTTTTGGAGGGTTTTGTATAAAAATATGATCATTTCGCGTAACGAGACTTTGGGTTGACCTTACGGAAGTAGGTCTTAGTCAGGCCAAAGAAGTTGCCGGGTATAGGTCCCGAATCGGACGCGATCCACTCTCGCGCGTTTGCGACTAGGGGCAGGACGGTATTGTCGCTGCACAACCACAAAAACACATCAGTTTTTGTTAGTACCACACATTCAAGCAGGCTGAAGCAAAAGTTCGCCAATTCCCGCGTGAAGTTAGTAATGTGCAATCGGATCTGTGATTTTTATTCGTTCAAATAGCAAACTCTGTGGTAACCATAGACAAATTCAAATATCGAATATAGCACAGTAATTCATTTCATATTGGTTCTCTATGTCAACCATAGATAAATTCGAATGTTGAATACAAATTTAACAGCTTGTGAAAACCGTGCTAACTTTAGATAAATTTAAATACCGAATTTAGCACAGTTGCGTGTTTTTTCAGTTGTTAGTGCTCTTTACATATAAATTTCAATATCGAATACAATAAACACTTGATTGTGGTCTGTGCCATAGATAAATTCAATAGATTTATGCAAGCATTAGTATCCCGGTCGTTGGTCGTCTATCGTTAGCGCGAGTGGTTGTTGTAGTATTTACATGAGCTTCTGTTTGGCGCACTCTGGGCAGATTATGTCAGGTCCGTCGGTGATGAAGCCCTTGCCCACGAGAGAGGTCTTGCATTGTGCGCAGATGAAGCAATCGTTGTGCCAGTGTCGGTCCTCGAATGAGATGAATCGGGTGCCGCCAATTCCTGAAATTTATGTATAAATATAGAATAACTATTGCCACTCAAAGCTATCTACAAAAAAGTATAACTTGCTTGTACAAGCAGAAGCAGTCTCATCATACCTTCAGTAACCCATTGTACCGACCAGAAGTATTTTGCAGACCTAATAGGCAAAATTAAAGAAATAGGCGTAAACGCTAACCTTGTTCGCGCTAAACCTTTTGGCTATGGAACATGAAGTACTTTTGAATGTAAAAGGCAGACTTGTATCGAAAAAGGCTCACCAGTGATAGGCTTGGTGCAAGATGTGCATCGCTTAGCGAAGAGTTCTCCAAAGCACTCAGCGCAGTAGGGTTTCTCATCCTTTGAAGTGAAGCGTTGTCCGGCCAACGAATTGTCACAGTTGGTACAGGTGAAACACTCGCGGTGCCATGGCTCGTTCTTGTAGGTTACGCCACCTTGCGTTATGATCTGAAACATAGGATAACATATGAGATACAATATTCTAGTAAATTCCAGTATTTCTAACACGACACTGACTCTTTTATACCAAGGGCGCTATAAGCTGTCGCAGGTTGGAACCATTAGGCCTACACTGCTTTAAAGAATTAACTTTTCAAGCGCCTTGATTAAGTGCAATACTATGATTTTTCATGAGTCACACATTTTAAAATATTTTTATACTGACTCAAATTTAAACCTTCGACAAGCTGATGTCTGAATCTGATGGAGCTACTTATAAGGAGCATTTACTACCGTACGTTTGACTTAACTACTAAATAATTTAAACAAAATTTTTATAATTCTAGCTGCATGCTGACTTCTGTCATGACACAAATTATATATAAATAAAAATCAGTGGATTTTGTATCTCTTTTATGATCATTGGTCAATCTAATAAGCAAGTAGGTGATCCGCCTCCTGTGCCTGAAACACACCGTCGACTTTTCAAAAATCATCGTGAGGAGGAAGTTTCCTCACGATGTTTTCTTTCACCGTTGGAGCGACGGTTAAATGCGATATTTTTTTGATACCGTTTGAACCTATTAAAAGTCATATTTTTCAAGTTTTTTAATTTTTCAATTTGGTTTGCAATTTGCAAAGGCAACTTGATTCACTTGATTCACTTGAAGAATGGTGTAATTTTTAGTAAATGTGATTCAATCCTTCGTAGCAAGCAAGCAAGCTGTATCTCTACTAAGGTGCGTGCGGGGCCTACTTGTAATGGACTGCTTGTGCCCTTTTTATGATTATAATTTAAAGCTAACCTACTAATATACTGTTCAATACAATATTTTAACCCAATAATAATAAGGACTTATGTTTGTCTGCTCAAATAAATAATTTATTATAATTAAAATACCTTGTTACACTTGACGCAGCGTGTAGCGAACTTGTCCTCGTAGCAACCAGCGCAGTAAATCTCCTGTTCACGCGGGATGAAGCTCTTGGTTCCGATGGGGTTCTTGCACACCACACAGCAGAAGCACTTCTCGTGCCACTGCCTAGTCTTGTACTCCATCTTCTTTGTTCCTGTTTAATTAAAATGGTTAATTATTGATCAAGGAACAATATTTTTTATAAATTACTAGCTGACCCGGCAAACGTTGTTTTGCCATGTATATTATTTATAGAAAACATTTTTTTAGTTCAATAAAAATTACTATCTACAATAATAAAAAAATAGGGGTGAAAATTAAAGTTGTATGTATTTTTGTTTGTATCATATAAAAATAAAAACAAAAAAATTGGGGTGGACACCCCTTATTACTTAAGGGTTTGAAAGATAGATAGTAGCCGATTCTCAGACTTACTGAATATGCATAAAAAATTTCATAAGAATCGGTTGAGCCGTTTCATAGGAGTATGGGAACGAACATTGTGACACGATAATTTTATATATTAGATTATGGTTCAACTTTTCAATAAATCTTCAACTTTTTCGACTAAGTATTGTAATACTTAATGGATTTTAAATCTTAATTCAACTGTCACAATAATATGATACCTTTTAAGGGATACACTCGAACGCAAAGACGCGTAAGGCATAAAGAATTTCACCTTAAATATCCATTAAATTAATTCAATTAAAATTGCAACAATTTCATAATTGTCGATAACCTTTAAGATTCGTTGCAACTGGAATTACATCATAGTCTGAGTCTAATTAACACGTCGAATTCAGACAAGGCGATAAAATTCCGTCGGCCAAGGGCCTGCATTAAATATTTATTGACTTTTAAGCAAGGTAACATCATGACAACACCAAAAATAGGTTTTGGAATCCTGTTTTAATAATTGATTAAATGTCAAAGTGCCCTAAATGCCAAAAGACATAAGGTAGTAAGTGGCATGGAAGGATATATATATATAGGTAGGGCGATCTGCGTATATCTTCTGTTTTTGTACATAATTTTGATGGTCCTTCAATAGCGGTTGCGCTGATGTCACAGATTATCGCTATTATCCAGAGTACGCGAGTAGATTTATTTTATATATAGATATATGTAAATTTATAAAAAATATATATGAATTTATGTATGTAGCAGATTACCTTTGGATTAGCTTATATATTTTTGTTTAAACATATCATTATTTATATTTTTTCTTTAGATTTTACTTTATTTTAGTTATAGTTACATGTTATTTTGAGTTTTTTTTGTTAATTAATTATGCACTTCTCGTACTTTACCCTCTGTAGGTGTTTCTTTTTTATTGTTCCATATTAGGGTTGCCTGGAGAAATCGCTTGTTAGCGATATAGCCGAAGCAACGCCTTATAACTTATGTAACCTGCTTTTTTATATGTATGATTTTGTATAAGGTAACGAAGTGTAAATAAATAAATAAAAAATATGTTTTTGTATAGGCTACGACAAGTTATGTATAAGAAAGGATCATCAGGGAAAAAAATACAGGTCTGTTGTACGGTGCGTTGACAAGCTGAAAGTAGTGGGGAAGATTGGGAGACAAATGCTCAAGATAGAGAGAGATCCAGTTGGAACAGGCCTATACTCTATAACAGGAAGAAGAAAGTTTTGTTTACAGTTTTAAGTGTATCTTTTGTAAATATGGATGAATGTTTCAAGGAATAAATGAGGCATCATTATAGGCTATATCCAGTACCAAGAAGGTGAGTCTGAGACGGATAGGGTCAAGATGTTCAGGAAGCATTTATCAAAGTGATAAGGCAGGCTCACTTCAAAAAGGGTTCGCCAATTAAAGAATGCGATAAGCGAACAATTTGAAAATAAACACAATACTTTGCGGAGTGCGCCATAAAAACAATTGGTGTCGTACCTTCAAAGGTTTGAATTAATTGGCTTTGGCTACATAATTGGGTCAACTGTTAGGTCAGTGGTGGATTTACAAATTTTCAAGGTATATATATTCACTAGCTGACCGGGCAAACGTCGTTTTGCCATATATATCATTTGTAATAAAAAAATAGGGTCCTGATGATTTTATGGTGAAATTCAAGCGGTTTGTTTGTATTTTTTTAATGCTGTATCATAAAAAATATCTAAAAATAAAAATACAAATTTTGAGCACCTTAACAGTTATGGGGATAAAAATAATCTTGTTCGATTCTCAGACATACCCAACATGTACCGACCCAAAATTTCATGAGAATCGGTCGAGCCGTTTAGGTAGAGTATGGCAACGAAAACTGTGACAGAGGGAACTTTATATATTAGATATTCTACGCTGTGAAGTTTTCGCCCTTTTGCACTCATTCAAATGTCCTATGAGTTTTTTGAAGGCGCAGCTGTCGATTACTGGTTGGGTAAAATATTTTTACAGACTTCTATTTTTGAGAACAAAATTATAAACAACCAGTTCTCTGCCTCCCACCAGTAGTAGAACTAACAGTAAAGGTTGATAGGAGATGGTTTTTTGATTTCACAGAATATTTCCCGCCCAAAAAATCTGCCGCCCTAGGCTCCAGCCTACTCAGCCTGCTGATAAATCCGCCACTGTGTTAGGTTAGGTTTTATATTTCGTACTAAATAAAATTTTTAAAAATTTATAGACGTATTATATCATATTTTAATTGCATTGACATTCAGTGTTGGCCTAGGCTTGTGACTCTCATCCCTGAGGTCGTAGGTTCCATCCCCGGCGGTGCACTAATGTACTTTCTGTCTATGTGCACATTTAACATTCGCTCGAACGGTGAAGGAAACATCGCGATGAAAATGGCTTGCCTTAGACCCAAAAAGTCGACGGCGTGTGTCATGAGACAGGTACAGAAATCTGATGCCCAGACCTAAAAAGGTTACAAAATTCAAAAATCATTTAATCATATAGGTAACACATTGTACACTTATGACTCGTCAGTAAAGAAATACATATTAATGCTTCTAATTTTACACTTAATGCCAGTTCTCAAATCAACGACGAGAACGGAAGAGAAGAACTAGGCAATCCCGAACTCTCCCTCTTTTAATCGCCATGTTTTTTTTCACAACGTTTGTAAGGAGCTGCAACCATTACACCATGACATCTTAAGTAATTAATAATAATAACATAAATTAAAAACAAAGACTTGCCCTCTATCAGCAGAAGGCATGGTGAAATAGGAGCACGCACTTACATTCTCGTGGGAACAACACGCAAACACCTAGTCGAAATCATTAACATCACCCAAACCTTTAAAAGGTTGTAGCGTCACTAGTTTTTTTAATTCTAATTTTATTGATATTCATCTGAAGTAGTGTTAAGTAGAAAATGAGATTAATGAAGAATAAGATATTATTATTCAATTAAATGTCTTATAATTAATGATGCGCAAATTATGAGAGACGTATTCACTTTCGATTAGAAATAATGTAGCTTTAAAAGCTCTTATACAATATGTAGCTTTTATATAGGAAATAACATAAAATCGTCAATGAAATGAAACATTTCATGAATTCCGTCACGATAACATGTAAATTGCATTGTTTGAAGGCTGTCCTTGGGTTGAATGTACTGATAATATGTGATCAATGCACGCGACATGCATAATTTTCAAGGTTTACTAAACTGTTTTGGGTATGTATACGTTCTTAAATACAAAAAAATCAGTGGCGCTACAACCTTTTTAGGTTTAGACCTCAAATTTCTGCATCTGTTTAAAAAATAAAATAAAATATGTTTATTATGGAATATAAGATACATGTATCACTTATTCCACGTCATTAAATTTCAATTTGTAGGCATCCCTACTCATCGGCAAAGAAGACAGAGGGTGTAGGCCGAGAGAAAAAGCCGGCGTAAAAAAAAATAGTTTCACGATCATTTGCCAATCTAATATGCAAGTATCAGATCAGCCTGCTGTGAATTAGGCAAGCCGTTTTCCTCACGATGTTTTCCTTCGCAGTTCGAGCGACTGTTAACTGCGCACATAGAAAGAAAGTCCATTGGTCCACAGCCGAGCGAACCTGCGACCTTAGTGATGAGAGTTACACGCTGAAGCCACTATGCACAGCTATACGTTATTAGGGAAACAAATAAATGTGATAACTTTCTAAAGTTGTACCATTTTTGAATAACACATCTGGAAACCACTGGCGTACTAACTTATTTTGAAGGGTTGAAGTTTCGGTAACTCGACATTGTTCTCGTGGTAACAAACTATACTGGGATTGACACGGTCCGACAGGCCTCTATTTTAGAGGTATAAAGTTTCCCCTATCGGGCTAAACTGGATGCCGGACACAAAAACTTTTTTTTATAGACCAGGGAGCAAACAGGCTGTAGGCTCACCTGATGTTAAGTGATACCGCCGCCCATGGACACTCTCAAAGCCAGAGGGCTCGCGAGTGCATTACCGGCCTTTAAGAATGAATACTCTCTTTTCTTGAAGAACCCTAAGTCGAGTTGGTTCGGAAATACTTCAGTGGGTAGTTGGTTCCACATAGTAGTAGTGCGCGGCAAATACTGCCTTAAAAACGCTCAGTTGTGGAACGACGGACGTCGAGGTGATAAGGGTAAGATAATGAAACGACACCTCAAATTGATTTCACGAGTTTTGAAGTGTGATTGCCAAAGTTTTAACAAATGTTTTCCATTATAAAGTTGCGCATTCAATCAATTCAGCACTGATGGAAAAACTTCGGTACAAATATTTGATAGGAGTTATATCCGATTACGTTCGTGTCTGTCGTGTTCCTAATATTTATCCATTAAAGTTTGATGGGTTTTCAATATCGTTATGTAATCCAGATATAATTTATCCAAACTGGATATATAGATGATATATATAATTGTTCGAAATATGAAAAATAATTCTACCTTTAGAGCACTGGACCTGTCTTTATAATTGAGGTGAACTCAGACATGCCCCGCTACGGATTTAGCACACGAAGTTCTATTTACTATAATCATCTATGTCTAACTAAATATGGACTTCATGCGTTGTTATAATATTAATTATGTTCAATTTTTATATTGTAATGGAACGAAGTGTTAATAAATAATTAAAAATATTTTAGTAACGTATCTTAGTATTTTCTTAATATATAAATAAATATTTTTA